CTGCCGGGTTCGGAACAATGCAAGTCTCACTTTGCCTGCATTAAATTGCCTCATCTATGCCCGGCTTGAGAGAATGCGGCAGGTCATACATGTAATTTGCCCTCAGCTTTCTTTTGAATGGCCTGTAAACATGCGCATAAGTGTACATCGTTGCGCGACTACATGACTTGAAGAGGCTTTGATCAAACAGAGGCCATTTCCGGAACGCACTACCAAGAAAGCCAGCTACCCTAGGAAGGGAGATGTAGGAATAGGTTGCCCATGTTGAGCACTGTCTTGACCTGTCCAACGGCTGTCTCCCTAGCAACTAATATGAAGCATCACTTCTGACGCTAGCTGCGCAGAGCGTTAGTTATTCTGTTGTGCTTGTCGATGCCGTTTTGAGCATTCATATTGCATTGTGTTATTTTGCCACAAGCTTGCTTCTAAATTGGTGTTTCACTGCGACATGGATGCGCAGCAGCGCTTTGGTCATGTGAGCTATTCACGCCAGCTCAGGCTAGACATGTGAATTCTTTGGCCATTTGGCTGACTCTGTGAGGCAAATCTGCTGAAAAGCGTGACAAGGCGGGACCAGGGAACGTGACAACCTGCCGCAGCAAGTTGGGTAAACTCCCAGGCCTGGGGATTTGGCAAAGATAGATTCCAGTACACCTCTGAGCTCTACCACCACACATGTCATTTCATGGAACTAGCCGCTTTAGTGGAGTTGTTACTTTTGTATGAGAATCCTTTTTAAGGTCGGGAATGCTATGAAGCCATGATGTCCCCCCAAATGCTGTACAGGTGGTGTTGCATGATGCGGAACTCTCCGATTGAACAGAACATGAACAGAACCACTGCTAGTGATCCCTCCAGGTGGTGCCACCTTGCCTGGCCGTCGGCACGGATTCCAGGCACGGGCTGTAGACTTGGGGGATGGAGGGGCTCCACCGTCAATTTCAGTAGCCGTTGGCCTTTGGTCGCGGTGCCGTTTCTGAACCCGCGCTGCGTTCTGGGTGCAAGGCCTGCAGGATAGCTTGTGTGTGTGTCCTGCATGATCATGACGTTCTCCAGAACCAAGCCAATACCGATGAAACTACTGAATGCATGCCCAAGCCAGTATGCCCAATGAAAGCACCCCTGAACAGTGTGACATTGCTTTTGCTCCCAACGAGTCCATGCGAAATGACATGACGTAGGTTTCTCGGTTGGGCAGGAGGGGCCGTTGTCCAGGAATTTGTTTCACAGAGGCCTTCACATCGCACCCTGCCAGGTCTGCAAAGCAAGTGCGGCTAATGAGAGTCAACCTGGACTGGAAGAAGTAGACCCGAGGATGGGGCAAGTGAGCATGGAATGGCCTGAACAGCCATTTTCTGGACACCAGGCCAACCCGCGTAAAATTGGCGTCTGTTTCAAGCAGGAGCCAGAAGTCCGCATTGGATTGCACTGTAGGGATCGTCAGACATGTGCGTTGGTCCGAAATGTCCTTTCATATTCTTGCATTCCAAGGGAGGTGCGAGCATTTTGACACCGCTTGATTTGCCATGCGTTGACGTTGGACCGGAGGGATTGTGAAAGAGTGGTGCCTCTTCTCAAGACAAAAACAACCCATGATGAGTGTAGTTTTGACTTCTGCCTTACTTGCCAGGACGATTCCAAGCCCGGGCTATAGATTTGAGGCAGAAGTTTGAAGGGCTTTTGCTTACTTCTTTTCGCTTGAGCAAATAGGGAGGGAGATTAATTTGGCAACATGTGCAGTAAGAGCACCTTTGTACCTAGGAAAGAGCCGTGTGAGTGTTGGTTGGCATTTTGCACTTAGTTTCACCGCCGACTTCAGTTGGGAACCTCAACCTCGCGGATGTCCAATTTGTTACTCAGCTGATTGACAAGATTTGACAAGTGAAGCTTGGGCGTCTTCAATGGAGCTCAGCACTGCTGAAAGCCGGGCAACATTTTTTCACAGCCGGAAAAGTCGGGAGGGGAACACGGTGCCTGGTTTGGGGCACCTTTGTAGTGGATCGTGAGCTGTTTGTCTATGTGTTGGGCACTCATCCATGCTTGTAGTAGCCTAACGCTGCCCCGCTGCTGTGGCGCACTGCATGCACGAACATCCCTGCAGTTCAAGCCTGCCTGACTTTGTCGAGGACAGCCCAGCTGTTGAAGACACTGAGCGAGCTCGCGCCAACGAACCATAGGTTCTGAAGCGAACGGAAGCCTTCTTGTCCATGTATCCTAGTCTCAAAAGGCAAAGGGGAACTTATAGGAGGATGTTGGTCAACTTTCCATGCAGCACAGACTGTAGTCAGACAATCTCAGCACGCACTGCACTGTGCCAAAGGTTTTGGCTCGCCTCATGTTTGGTTGTTTGGGTGTTGTGAATATAATGTGCACCTTTGTCCCAACCCGGGAGGTGTTTCACTCTGTGCAACGACGCAGCATTGCCAGCGGCTGTTTTGATTTTGTGTCCCAGCCTCACGCGATCCAACAGTAAATCATAATCATGTTCAACAGCACCCATGTATGTGGAACGACGATACAAATCGATGTGTACGCCAAGGCACTTGTTCCATGCTAGCGGCACGTGCGTTCAGCATAGTTCACGTGTACCATTTCTGCACGCGGTCATTGCGAGAGCCAGCTTGATGTACAGGCCGGGTGCCAGCACCGGGTATAGACTAGCGCTCTCAAAGGCTATGAAATGGGATGTGTGACCGGCTGGCTGCTTCTCTTGGGCTTGGTTAGATGCTTGGACTCGCGCAAGCCTCATCCTGGCTGAGTGTTCCTCCTCTTGCCCTTTTTCGGTGTTTTTTTTTTGTCTGCTCAAATGGTCAAGCAGAGGTGCAAAAGAACATACTACATACTCGGATGGACAAGCCGCATACACTGTGCCAAGCTAGGCCGACCTCTGCTTTGTGTGTGAGGCATAGTGTGGATTTGCGCAAAGCATGGAGCTCTGAGAGCATGAGCTGAGCAAATGCAATGCAATTTGTTTTGGCTGCCCTGGAGTAATGCAGAAAAGGGGTTCCACTGGCCCGCACAATTTACTTTTCCTCATAGCGCAAGGCTCGACATGCTGACGGCCTTTGTCCCGTGCTTCTGTTTCCCATGGGCTTCGTATTGGGTGGCTCCACTGTGCTCAGCGGTAGCCATTTTGGATCTTTGAATACAATCACAGAGCATCTAAACAGTTGGACTGTAGAAACAGACGGATTACGCTCAGCTTGTTTGCTCAAGGCCAAATCCAAATTCCCCTCCAAACAAAGGACAGCAAGCAAACAGTGGCATGTGTCAGAGGTGTTGTTCGAGTAGACGCTTTCCTTTTCACAGGAATGACGGAAGGCCCGCGGTACACAAGAGCTGATAGGTAGACAACGTGGTGCTGCGAGTGGCTGGATTTGGGTTTCCCACGGGACATTCGTTGCAGATTGCACCAGTTATTTGTGCCACGAATTCAACCAAGTTCTCGCTTAGTCGGCAGGTAAGCTTAACTATTCCCCCAAAGTCATCAGCGCTTCACCAGGTCAACAACTTGTTCAGCACATGTTTTTCCTCGAGGCCCAGTAGGGCACCAGCCTTGTGCACGGAGCGTGGGTCGCGATTGTTTTCTAGTTATGAGGTTGCGCGCCAAATGCAAAGGACATGGAGTTTGTTGGGGGACAGTCACTGTCACTGATACCTCATGCCATGTCTGCAGCATGCATGCCTTCCAAGAGGCAAGGGGCGACGGGTGACACGGTGACACGCTTCCGCTTTGGCACCCTTTGGCAGCTCCTTGACATGCAACGAGCGCTTTCTGGTACATGGCCGTGGGTCAAAACCGATGGTACCATTTTGGGGTAGGTGCACCACCCATTTTAGTCTAATTTAGTGGGGATTGGGATGTTCACTGGGGGTACGGGCTTTTGACCCACGGGCACATGGCAGTTTGCGAATAATGTGGGGAAATCGTGGTGCTTAGCCAAGGCCCCCCCAAAGAAATCAGGGCTCCCGCGGCGGAGGGCTTCGGACAGCAGGTATTGAACAAGGTGTCTTGTTTCGTATTAGTTTTATACTGGTCATTACAGGTTTTGTTTGGCCTAGCATGATCTAGACTAGCTTTTGCTCGCCCCCCCCCCCACTCCCCCAACAACAAAGGCTGTTGGAATTGCTCACCACCCCATATTTGTTTTTCAGATCGGGAATACCTTTGGGAACACTGCTTGTAGTCCCTTTTTCCTCAGTCATCGTCATCCGACATCAGCATGCAGAACGCCTGGCTGAAAGATGCTTTCAACATAATATACGAACGTTTGTTATACTTAGATAGTTGGTTGTCACTTTGGCTTCTGATTTGACTTGGTTTGACTTGCCGAGGGTAGGGGGTGGCAGATCCGACGGGCTTGAGAGTTTTGCTGCAGCTTGTGTTTTGGCACTACTGACACGTAGGTTCAAAGAAACGCCGGGTTTGCTTGAGCATGTTTGGCAAATGTTTGATTCTGAAATCAGGTGTGGCGTTTCGGCAAGCAAGGTAAAGGGTAGGGGCTTTGGGTTCCAAGGCACGTCAGTCGATTCGAGGAAATGCATTGCTCAATGAAAAAGTGCATGTGACCTGTTTGTGCGTCAGGTGTTGCATGCCACGGACTCAGCGCCGACTCAGCGGGTGCACCGCGTTCTTTTCTTGCTAGAGACTCACTCTTCTGTTCTCATCACTTTGTGAGTCCAATGCTCAGGAGTAACCATGCACATGGAGCTTGCCAGCCTCATTGCCAGTGGCCATCTCATGAATAATCCTTGGTAAAGTGCTGTACCCTGACATGTTGCAGTCACATCGCCAAACAATCGGCTCATGGTGGTGCCACCCGAAATCCTTGCAGGGACTTCTTTGGAACACTGCTCAGGCAAGCGCAAGAAATAGGCACAATTAACATGGTGAGCTCTAGATGGTTGTGTACATGATTTATTCAACGAAGGCGCCTACATTCATTGCGCAGTGGTTCTGCTCATGCCGCGCTAGCTGTGCTCAAATCCAAGAAGGCGAGATGCTTCCTCACTGCGATGGCAATCGCGCTATTTTGGCACGCTTTCAGGAGGAAGGCCTAGATGTGGTCGAGTTCTACGACAGCGATGTTTCCGATGGTGAGCTGGATGATGCCATTGGCGACTTGCGCCTGGCCTTTCGGAGTAAGCTGTTTACCCTATTAAACGGCCTTGGGTGGCCACACGTGGCCCTGGTTTAGGTGAGCAGCAAAACGAGAATTGCCCATGCAACCATTGAACGTTTGCACTGAAGCCCCAGAAGAGGACGAGGAGGCTATACCCCTCCTTGCAGGACCACTTGTGCTGCCTAGGGCCCTTCCGATTTGGCCTCCGAGGCAAGCCGTGAACGAGCTTGCGAGCCGCCCTCATCAGGAGAGAGCGCGCCGGTCCCTGCCCTTCCATGTCATTTTCGTGGTGGATGCAAGCTCCAGCATCCGGGCTGTTAGATCACTGATTTCAGAAGGTGTGCCGATGGTGTTTGCCAGAGCTTGCCGTTCTCGAAGCCATCCAAGTATGCCATACCTTGTTTGCATGGTGCAGCGGCATTGTGGCATATTGTGGCCTTCGCTTTTCGAGGCTGTTGCATCTGTGTGCATGGGTGAAATGTTGCTGAAGCATCACCATTATGTTTTTGCTGCTTGTCCTCCCCCAGTTGCGCACCCAGGCATGGCGACGAAGGATGTGGATGGCAAGGCCCGCTTAGCAGCCGTGTTTGATGCTTGCCGCAGCTTCATGATGCAGCAGCAGGCGGAAGACTCAGCAGAGGAAGGTGACTGCTACAGCATGGTATCCTTCGATACTTCTGCGCAAATTTGGTTCAAACGGCAACCCGCGGAGGGGGCCAAAGCAAACATCCAGGACGTGGAGGACTGTTTGCTTCCGGTGGTTCACTCCACCCGCTTTCAAGCCGCATTCAAAAAGGTCGCGGAGTTGCTTGGCACGGGCAAAAAGGTTGCAGAAGATGTGCGGGTTGTTTTCCTCTCAGACGGTGCCCCCCACGAGGGAGCACAGCTGGGGAGCGTGGGCAGGGATGGCAGCAGTGCGGATGCCTCAGCTGACGGTTTGGTCACCAGCTTGGAGGAGGTGCTGTTGGGCGGCGAGGAGGTTTGTGGCATCAAACAATTGGTGAGCCTGGGTTGCATCATGTTGCAGCAGTATTAGCGAATTGGTTAAGTGCTCAGTAGCGCTTTGAAACAAACAGCAGCGGATTTCAGCCTTTCTTGGCGTGGCAAGAAGGAAAGGCTACCGATATCCGAGGAATATGCCAGGGGCCTTCATCACAAAAACATTGAATTCCTCCAGCCAGCAGAGCGGTCGAGCAATCATAAGGATAAATGTGAATCGTGGGGGATTAGCGTTTGGCATTTACTTTTAGGCCAAGCAGCGTCGGAGCAGATCGTTTTGATTAGGGCTTGCAGAAGGGCGTTGCAACCCGCACCATTTGCTTAGGATCTACACAGTGGCCTTTGGACAAGACGCTGCTTCCTTTGAGAAGTTCTTGAAGCCTTTGTCATCCCGCACAGGCGGTGAGCACTACATCAGCAGCCTCAGCAACTTGGACCTGCAGCGAGCCTTCGGGACCATCGCATCCTCCATCACGACCACGCGAACCTCTGTCACCTCCGCCGCTCCTCCAGTACATAGGTGTCCTTTCCAGCAAGTCTTCGATTCAAGTGTCCAGGGCACCTGCGAGAGGACATGCACCATCCAGAAGGTCCAGACACGGGGCAAGAGCAAAAATGCGCCGATGGGTGCAGATCTTGTCTCCAAGTGCCCTTTTGCTGGAGTCTTTGTACATCGCTTACCCTTTGCCTGGGGAGGAATGCGGCTGGTTTACAACATGGAGGACACCTATAACGTCGACAAGCGCAAACAACCCATCAAGATGGTGGCCAAGCGGCTCATTCGGAAGGAGCACGCAACATTGAAGGAAATGCTGCCTTTCTGCTACAGCACTGAGAAGGCCATCATGTTCCGGGCTTCCTTTCTGAAAGCTTTGCGGAAGGTTGGCTTGGATGCGCTTATCTTTTTCGTGCCTTGCTACCTCTACAGCTACGGCCAGTCGGAGAAGAGCTACTTCGTGGCGGAGCAACTCCTGGAGGAGACCAGTTTGAATACGAGAGGCCTCGTTCGGTTGTGTTGTTGTTTTAGATGCAGAGCTGAGAAGAGTGCGATGGATTGCCCAACTCTTATCATTTGATTGCCTGCGTGATTCTATCCATGAGGTCCACTTGTTTGCAGCATAGCTACCACCGGGCCAGTCCGACCCAAGCAGCGCAGGGCCGCTTCGAGAAGTTTAACAGCAACAACGGCTATGTGAACGGCGACCACGAGGCCAGCGAGGTGCTGCAGGCCTTCAGCCACTACACCTTTGTCGAGAGCCGGGGCAAGCTGCTGGTGGTTGACCTGCAGGGCGCGGTGGACAACGGCTGGCTCATGCTGACGGACCCCCAGGCGCACATCCAAATGTTGCGCTTTCCTCGTGCTTGTGACTTGGGCTCCCTCTGCTCTTGACGCAACTTCCGGGCTGCGTCTCAGACATGTTGCAACTGTCAGTTGAGGCGTTGGGCAGGCGTTGGCCCTTCGCTTGAGGTGCTCTCCAGGGCAAAGTCCAAGGACCGCATCTTTGGCCCCGGGGACCTGGGCTTCGAGGGTATGAAGGCGGGGCACCGAGAGGCCTTTTTCGCCCATCCTAAGTCCTAAGCGCAGCTAAGTCCTCGCAGCCCAGACAACCAGCTTCAAGGTTGGCCCACTGTCATGACCATGGTGCGGCTCTTTCATGTATACAGCGCGGCCGCGTAGCCTTCCCGCTGGCACAGAACTTGAGGAATGCGCCGTTGGAAGACGGTTTCAAAAAACAAGGGGCCTGTACAGAAGGAAGGTGCCACTTTGGGTTAGTTCACTTTGCCTGTCGCTGTAACCACCCGCGCTGCTGATGTCGGACTGGCCTCATTTGTTCGGAATGCTCGAAAGCGTTCTCAGGCTTGCCTCCCTCAGAGAGGCATGAAATGGTTGGCCAAGTTGCTTTGTTGATAGGTGTAAGCATGCAACCTACAATGTTGTTCGCATTTTTGACTTCCCTAAGCCCCAAATAGATGGCAATATGTCCCTTGACTGATATGACGATATTTGCGTCCATGTACCTACACCGCACTGCAAGGTGAACCCTTTGTGTGTGTGTGTGTGTCGTGAGTTGTTTGGCGAAACTGTGCCTGTTTGTGCCTGGTGAAACGTGCGATCCAGCACATTCCATGAGCAAAAGCTGACACCCAGTCAGTCCGTCATGTGAGCGCTCCAAATGGTGAGCCTTCAATGCTGTCCCGAAGCTCAAAAGTGTGTGAAGGTTGCCATGTTCCTGCTTTAACCCAAGCCCCTTGGCCGAGCGAGGGCATTCAGTTTTCCAGGGTTCAAGAGGCAAGGAGCGCAGCCTAAACTGCCAGGCCTTTTTCGAGACCCACGAGTGCGGTGAAACCTGCCATGCCTTGAACCTCCTGGAAAGGCAGCGGAAGCTCCTCAGACGTTCGACACAGTTTGGATTACCAGGCTGGCCCAAGAACCACCATTGTGCTTGGCGCTGAGGTTTCAGCGTGACATGGAGCTGAAGAGGGCGCAGTGCGTGATTTGCCTCAGTGCCAGCCGCAACACCTGCTTCCAGCCCTGTGGGCATTCCCTGGCCTGTCAAGACTGTGCGCTGCAAATGCTGGAGCGAAGCTGGGGCAAAAAGCTGGAGGGGGTACTGATTTCAAGGGTAGATTCTTGCTGACTTTATGCCAAGATTGCAATGAAGAATCGCAGAATCCTGCTGTTTTACCTTCCCCTCTCATTGTGTTGGTTGGATTGTAGGGTTTCACCTCGCAGCTTCTCGAGATGGGAATGCCTAGGTTTAGCAGCAGCAGTCGACGCATCCTGGGGCTAGCAAGATGCAAAGTTTTGGACGCGCGTTCAGCTTGATCGACAGCGTTACAATATGCAAGTCATGAAGACAAAGACGCATGGTGGCCAACTAAGTCAAAGGGAGTTGCTGCAGCAACACCGTTGAGGAGGGCCATGTATACCATGCAATGACGGGACTGACGCATTCTCGCATGACCGGCTATCCACAGTATTCTGTGAATGTCATGTGTACCAAGGAGCCGTACTCTGCAGGTAGTGAGCTTGGAAGATGTTGCCAAATAGAAATGCCCCAGGCCAATAATCTTGAGCATGGCCATTAAGTTTGCTTGTCATCCTTTGCTGGTGCGGCCAAATGTGTTGGCGACACAACATTGCAGCATGTTTCAACCGCAAAGCGACGTACACTATGCCCAAGGCTGTTGAGGATTGGCCATGTTTGATGGTTGTCATGAAAACGAATCATTCAAAGCAAATAAAGCTTTGCCGCAAAGGGGGCACGACAAACGCGTTTCCCCGCTTTGGCGCCTGCCGCTTCCTTTGCCACTGGTGTGTCTTTTGCGCGGGGTGTCGGCACTTGCGCCTAGGAAGCCTGACATGCTCCATTTGCCGGGGCAAGATCAGAAGCTTCGACACGGGCATCTTCAGCAAAACTTTTGTGCCGCCCAAGGAAGCGCGCAAGCCCAAGGTGGCCAAGGAGAAGCCAGCACCTCCGGCTTCCCTGCAGCACAAAGTCAATCGCTTTGTTCGGGCACGGGTGGTTCACTTTCGATTGAACATAGGGAGCGGCGAGTTGAGAAAAGAACACGTAATTCGCCATGCTTCCCTCGAACCACCACAAACACAAACACCACAAGAGAACAAACTGGCAAACAGAGCAACTATAACGCAACAAGAGCTTCTGGATGCGAGATTCGGCTTGTGAGAAAGGTACGGCTTCAATCTTTTCAGGGCAGTTTTGCAGGACAGTTGGCTGTCTCGCTTCTTTTTGTCCCTCTTTCTTGCTCCATTTTGTTCTTTCCCTCGATTCGTGGCATTTCGAAAGAAGTCCGTGTTTCATTGTCCCCCTTTTCTGGAACGGGAAAGCAATTAACAAGCAGCCACTATATATTCTACGTTCAGGCTGGGAGCAACAAATACTCAGAAGACTTTGCCCCTCATAGCCCTTTCAATGTCCGGCTGCTCGTGGACGGCTCGAATCGCCTCGGAGGTGTCAAGCCAAGCCCCCAGAGCCGCGACTGCGCCTTCTGCACCTCGGGCAGAGGCGGGAGGTTCGCGCGAGAAATTTCAGGGAACGCCTAAGAAGCTCCCTGCCTGAGTTAAGAAACCAGCCAGCAATTGTTTGTGGATGATGGCCAGGTTTGTCGCTTCGAGAAGCAGTTTTTTTGTAGGGGTGGACGTGTTTCGTGCAAAGCGTGTGTCGGACTGAAGTCGTGGAAGGACAAACGAGTGGTTGCGGGTGCAACAAATATCAACATATACCCGTGGAAGCTCGCGGACGCAGTTTCAACAGAAGGATGCTCACGGAAGCAACAGTCCGAAGGGTTGGCGGAAGATTGCACAATGTCACGAAAGCTCCGAAACAGCTCGGGCAAAAAAATCTGTGCAGGCCGCGATAGGGGCGCAATTTTGAGCATTTTGCCAGGCAAGGTTGTGGGCTTGATTTCCCCGGTTACCGTCCACAATCAGTTCCTGTTGCTTGCGTGCTTTTGTTCCCGCCTTGCTCAAGTCAATATGAAAACGAAATAGTAAAGTCAAAGATGTCATGGCGCACCGGCGGTTTAGCGTTTGCAGCACGTTTGCTTCAAAGCCTCTTGCAAACACCTGGTTTCTGCTTTTTGTCGATCTAGCCTTATGCATCCTGATTCCCGGCGAGCGGACCCTGGCAGGACCTGCTGCTGCCATCTGCCAAGCCCAAGGCCAAAGCGAAGGCAAAAGTGAGGCCAATGCTGAACACTCGGCCGGGCCATCGGCATGGCCACGGCATCTACAAGACGGAGCTGTGTGACTTCTGGATGGACGGAGCATGCAATCGTGGCCGTCAGTGTACTTTTGCGCATGGCTTTAATGAGTTGCGCAGGTGATGTTCTTGCTGGTTTGCGCTTGCTATCCGACAATCCAATCATGCAAGCGGATAGGGCCGCCTTTTTCCAAAGGCTGTCAGCTTTCATGATGGGAGGCAGGATGCCACTGTTTTTTTTTTTTTGTCAGCGTGCTTTGCCAGCCTCTCAATTGTACAAAGTTTAGAGCAAATGCAGATGCCGGACATGCCTTGGGAAAGCTTCCGACAGAAAGCAACCTTATGGCCATCACATTGTCCCAGAGTCCCGGCGTGTAGTTTGCTGGCCTTGGTTTGCAGCTGTTGGGCATCAAGGTGCTTCAAATTGCCCTTCTCCAGCAGGTTCTTGTTGCCTGGGACGAGCAGTGAGCAGTAGGACGCATCAGCTTGTTCGGCCTGCCTCAGGCCTCGGAGGCAGCCCAGGAGATGGGGGTCCTCGGTCCTCGGTTCTGGTAGTTGTGGATGTTTGACGAATTGAATATCAGTTTATCATGCATGTTTCAACCAAGGAGCACCCATCTACAATTGCATGTGCGTGCGCGCATGTGTTTAGACATGTTTGTTTCTTTTGCAATGAAGGCATGCGCCCGTTATGAGCTGTGCTTTGAGGAAGGGCCGCGGGCCGGAGGTGGTTTCTTTTTTGATAACCAGGCACACGTCGAATGGAACCTAACATGTTGCATGCTTTACGCCATTTACGCATCCCGTACTGCCTACAGACGAAGCATTCATGCAAGCCGCATACATTCCTCAGCGGAACTCGCGATCATTTTATTCGGTTTCTTGAGTTATTGTTTCCGAGGGTATAGTTTGGGATCGCTAAGTGACGCCGGATGAGCAATGTGTTAAACGGCGTGATTTGTTGACTTGGTCATGCAGCGAATTGGGGCTGCGGTAGCTCGGTGCAAGGTGACGACTTTTCTGGTATGCCATCAACGCAGGACATAGAGGAGTTTAGACCTGGTTTGGTATTGACTAATTCTAATTTAGTATTGGGCGATTAGTGGGGGTCTGGGATACAATATTCAGAACAGGGCAGGGAGTACTCGTGAGGAAGCATCAAGACATTGTGAACCTGCGCCAACCGCCCACCACGAACCAACCATGAACCAACCGTCCAAGATGCAGGAGGTGGTGCAAGCCCGGGATCAGCTGAAAGAAGTCGAGGCCCCAGGTCTAATTTTGAGTGCGTTGCGCGCTGTATCTACTTGTGTTTGTTTTGTTTGTTCTGTCCCCTGAATGTTTTGGGTACCACGATTGACATCCTGTTGCAACTTGCAACAACGCCCGTGTGCTGACCACACATTGCCAGTGACATGCGATATATGAAGCCAGATGGCCCATGAGCTGCCCACTCGGGAGAGCTGGGACAAACTCCTTGTTCCATTGGAAGTCGGGGATGTCACTCAATGAATGGACCCTTCCGAATACGTATTAGCTTGGCACAACGGATGCAACGTATGTGGGGGAGGTTGGTTTTCCCAGTAAGGGGTGGGACAATGAACACTTCTGCCAGTTTCCCCAGGCAGCTAGCAATCTCCCGTGCCCAATTGAGCGTTGACTGACCGCTTGCATTCTCATGCTATTAGGTGCCCGTGCACTTTGTGGTCGTCACACCTCATCCTGGCAGCTCGGCATGCCTTGCTTTTGCACGAGCAAACCATGCCGTCAAACTTGTGCGTGCTTTGGGTGTGGGCAAAAATTGGGATGCAACGCCAGTGTTCTCTTTTTGAGAAGGTCAGACTTGGAAGCTGACTCGCTGTCGGGCAAAGCCTTTGCAATATGCTTTTCTGTATGTCACAGCAACCATGGATGGAAACAATCTGCATGTGGTTTGATCGCGGAGAGGCACAAGTTTCTGGATGTTTGTGTCTCAAGCAAGTGCATGAATTTGGCCTAGCTTAGTGCCTTGTGCTTGGGGCCTGATTTTTGAAGCCCATGTGGTGGTCTTTTCCCCTCACCTTGTGTTCGGCATAATGCCTTTCCAAGCAAGGTCAGCTGGACAAGATCATGGCACACGTGCAGCCCGGCAAGATTGATGGCCTTCGATTTGCTATTGACAACTTTGAAGTCTGCGGCAGTCCCTGGTTGCTGCGCAGGCAGAAGAACATTATCGACCCCCTGATCCGGCGGAGGATCCTCCTCGAGGTGCCAAAAACTTGCCAATCAAATGTGGTTCTGGGGAGTGTTGTCATTGGTTTTCTTTGTGTACCCTCTTAAGGTGGACTTAACTTATTAGGCAGGCAGTTGTAGCGGAATCTCTAGCGGCTGACGTCATCGTCCATGGTCCCAGACCTTCGGCAGCAGTTACCCCATTGACTGGTTTGACAGGGAAGCCAACAGGAACCATTAAGGAACCATTTTGGGGCCCCAGTTGTTTAGAAATTGCAGATCGTGCGCCTGTTCCCTGCTGCAGTTCCGAGTGCGCGACGCTACGCCAGACAACTTTGTGGCAGAGGACGGATGGAGCGCGTTGCCAGTTACATGGGCTCGAGTTTTGGAAATCAGTTTTTTTTGGTGGTTGTTCGAATTGTGGTTGGCTTGGAACGCATGCCCTTAACATGCCAGCCGTCTGTTTGAATACAGGCTGCCACAGCAGTTGTCTTGGAGCTGGCACGGAGCCAAGCCGAGTGATGCAGAAGTGGCGTTGGGTGGTCTCCGTTGGTGTCTCTATGGTGCGCAAGCTGCCACCTGCATCTCCTTGTCAGACCTCTGTCTATGAACTGAGACTAGGAAGAAAGCTTAGCATTTCTTGGGAGATGAATCGATCCCGAAGCCTCAGGTGGTTCCAGTTCCATGGCCCATCACCGACCGAGACGTGCAGGCAGGGCTTCGGGGCTTCGGGGCTTCGGGGCTTGGCTTCATGAAGCCCGAGCCTTGAAGGAGGCTTGCAGGGCCGCAGGGCTGGAAGAGGTTCGTCCAGGTTCAACCAGAGATCGTGGCGAGCCTCCTTGCTTCATCCCTTCCCCCTAATAATAAACGACGCCCCCCGCTAATAAAACAAAATCCCGGCCAGCAAAACAATTGTTATTATTAGGGTCAGGTTTTGAAGGTGCCTCTTGTTCTGTGTGAGCTTGTCTGCAACTGTGGTCCCCCTGTTCCGGTCTGAAACATCGCATCAAACGTACATTTCCGAGTAAGGAATTTAAGTAGCGGGAGTTGAGGTCATGTTTTGTTGTTTTTGGTTGAGGGTTTTGGATCACACAAAGGGACCTTTTGAGAGAGAGAGAGAGAGAGAGAGAGAGCGAGACACAGAGAGTCGCAACTTTGTAGTACAGCCGTAGTAAAGGAAACGTGCTCCCGGAGCTCTGGCTCGAAAGTCGCAACTTTGTAGCACAGCCGTAGTAAAGGAAACGTGCTCCCGGAGCTCTGGCTCGAAAGTCGCAACCTTGTAGTACAGCCGTAGTAAAGGAAACGTGCTCCCGGAGCACTGGCTCGAAAGTTGCAACTTTGTAGTACAACTGTACAACGGTAGTAAAGGAAACGTGCCCCCGGGTCCCCCTAATGGGGCTGGAAAATACTTACTTTAGAATTGGTTTAGCATTGGCTATTCTAAAAGTAGTCCCGGCTTTGGGACTTCTGAAACAATTTTTTATTATTAGGGAGACCTTTATTAGTAGGGGGGAACGGATTAGATGAGCACCGCGTCGATAGCATGTGGCTGACCAGTGGCAATGACTCATTATGAAATGATCGCTTTTTCAAGTTGTATACGCATGACTGCCGCCAACTTCTTCACTGGCATTGTGAAGCACGGCTCGCCTTTTTTTGACACCCTCTTTGAGACCATTGCATTCCAAACATGTTTAGGCTGAGTCACACTCGTTGCTACAGGGCGCAATCTGGCGCATTCCTCTTGAACCTGTCTAAACCTATGGAAAGCAGCCGCAGATGCTGCACAGTGCCAGGACTGGCGGCGACGCTTGGGGGATGACATGGCGCTGGTGGTGGCACCGCACTGCCCCAGGCGGGAAAGGCAGTGGATTGTGGTGCACATTGGCTAACTTCCTTTCTTTTCTGAGTTTTCTGTGGTTCTCGATGTTAGTTCGAGGGCCCTCTCGCTCATGAGACTGCAGGGGGTGTTTGGGCCAGTCCACATGTGCTCGACATCTCCAAAACACTTGTTTCACAGAAGTTGTGAGCGGCACCACCAGAATTGGCTTGCACAAGGTTGACAGACAATGGTAACTATAGTGCTTCATTGCACGCGCGTCAGGCATGCAGATGACTGGGACGAAGAGCGCGCAAAGTCCGCACTCGCAAGGGTGCGCTGGGTGGGTTGGTGCCTGGTATCCTTCCGCCCTTCGTCGCAAATTTGCATGAAGGCAAGACAATGTTCTTCCAATCAAGAGCTTTACCCAGCACACTTGCACTCTACTTTGCTGCAACTGCCATTTTTGTTTTTTTTTTGTCTTCCGATGGTGCGTCAATTCGCAACAAAGTCAAGGAATCCACATATGGCACATTGTATCACCAACGTTGGGAATGTCATTTTGTAGACCTGAAGCTTGGACATGTTTGCATTTTGTAGAGTTGGCAGAGACGTCCTTAGCAGATCGTAGCATGTTTTCGGCAGAGGTGAGTGGACGACCGGACGCAGATGCTGGTACAAATTGATACAAATGGGGTGCTCATGGTTTAGAAAGCCATGTTTTGATTACAGAATGGCTGTCCAATCCATTTGGAACACTGGTACGGTTTTGCAGAGACTCCATCCCCGCCATCTTTTCATACCGGAATAGCCCACAGGGGGATGGCGCAACCGCAAGGCCCAGGCCCTCCGGTAGCAGAAGTCCACAACTGCCACACGTGCCAGGCAATGGTTCTGCCGCCGGCACAGAAGGCCCGTGCATAGACGATGGTGCTTTGCAAGGTTTCAGCACCTCGGGTTTTGAGACTTCACAGTGAAGGTGCCACTGCTGAATGTGCCAGAGGCATCAAAGGCATGGACAAGCGCGGACCAGCCACTTGCGTGAGGCCAAGGTCCCGAAACCCGGGAGCATTTGGGCTGGCAGCTGACCCTTGGCCGAGCTGGCGTCGGTTGGTTTTTGCCGGTTTGCTGCTTGCGCAGGCTGTTGGCCTGCATTGTATTCTGTACACATGTGCCGTATGTGAATGATGCCTGGATACCACAGATCACCAGCCAATCTGAGGCGTGGAGAGGGACAAGTCCTCCCAGGCTGGCATTTCATCTTATTTGGGGGAACAGCCCATTGTCTTTGAGGATGCCATCTTGACGCTCCTGTGTGAGAAATGCTGTTCTTTCTTGCATGCCAAGCAAGGGGGCGGGGAGGGCCGACACTTCTCGGATATCCCACCAAAACACGTATCAGGGAAGCCACGTTGGGAAAGACAGGTGTCACAATAAGAAGGCCATCAACCATCTAGCGCCCAGGCATGCGCTGCGCTTTGGGATTATTGCTGGCCAGTGCAATCACTTTGCTTTTGGTCTGTTGAAGAATGCTTACGTAGATGTTGGCGGACGGGCCAGAGCATGGTGAGCATGGCATTTGGTTGGAATGCGCGGGGTCACCGGAGTGAGCAAATCAAACCTTGGGAAGAAATTGGGCTCTCCACAAATACGCGAGGCCGACCGGATTTACTGCCAGGAGCGCCACGTCATCCCCGCTGTCCTTGAACAGCCACGGCTAGGAGTAGCCAGCGCCCTAAATTGAAATCTGTCATCCATCTTTGTGAACCTGATCCTGCAGAGCGGGTGAGGTTTCACAGAGCAAAGTTCGCAGCCCCAACTAGCAAACTCAGTGCCAACCTTCACGGCAACGAACGTGACCCCATGCCAAAGCCGTCCAAAGCATGATGTGTTGTAACTTTCGGCGCGAAACATTTTCTGAGACGGCCATTTGGCATCTTCCAGCCAAGCACTGCGCGCGGGTTAGCAAGCCGCGGTTAATCGCAAGGTCAACGAATCCTCTGGCAAGCGAGTGCTGCTGGTGCGGCCCCTAGCGTGGCAGCATACGATCCAAATGGTTGGGACACCCTGCATTACGTTCAATGTTCTTTGTGGTTTGTTGCGCGCGTTCGCCTTTTGCATTGGTTTTTGTTATTATGCCGTTTCTATGTTTCCATTTTTGTTTGGCACGATCTTGCGCAAACGCACTGTCGAAAAAAAAAAAAAAAAAAAAAAAAAAAAAAAAAAACTTTCACCCTGTCAAGATCCCCCTGTTTTGTTGGCATCTGGTTGGCTCAGCATGGGTAGGCCCGCGAGGCGGGTTGATCTCAGATAGGTTCCAACTTCTCGCATGCACATATTGAAGCAGTTTGCAGATGGGGTTTTGTCTTTCTTTTACATCGCAGCCCGGCCGCGATGTCCATTATACGTCCGGTTCATCTTCTGGCCAACCGGATGCCGGACTGAGCTCAGGATGATGCGTCCGCTACTCTACTGCGACCTGACATTGCCTTGGCGTTAAGCGAGCATTTGCCCGCCCTTCGCCCAGTCTTGTTTTGGGGCTGGGCGCTCGAGGTTGCTATACTTGTGCCACGACTGCTTAGACTTTTTGCTTGTATGCACCTTTTTGGGCACGGTCATCGCCCAATGAGCCAACCCAACATCAGTACCACTTGACGAAGTCAGCTGGGATCACGGGGCCGTTCCATGGAAGGCGTTGCACTTACAGCATCAAATATGTTCCATGACGACTTTCAGCGTTGTCTGAAGGAAGCCACGAGATCAGTGGAGTATATAATTATTCCGCATGGAAAGTTGTTACTGTCATGTCATGTGTTTCGTGGCCTCTCCGGGGCCCTTGCGAAATGCCCAGCTTGGTGCGATTGAAGGAATGCCATGAGATCATGGAAATAGTATTGGCGCAGCTTGGCTCAGATGGCGCGTGTAGCCATGTCGCGGCAAGTGCTGCTGCTTGCAGCGGATCCTCAGCCAAAATCATGAACCGAACCTGTCGCTCGCTTGCTGTGCTTGGCAGGCTGTGCAAATTTGGCGCAGCAGTCAGCGAGCAAATCATAGCACTGCGTCTCAGGTGCTGCTCGGCCTCAGCTGCTGTTGGCTGGGCCCTGTGGGGCCCGCCGTGGCCAGCCTTGAGGCCAAGGCGCGGAGGAATCGTGGACGGGCGTTGATAGCTGCCTTGGGCCCAGTTGACCACCAGGTTTCCCTAGAGCAGCACCAAATGTGGATTCATGTGGGGCGCACGGAAGTGTGACACAAGATGAGGCCTTTGCCAGCTGCCCAAAATAGAAGTATCAAGTATCAGCACGAGCCAACATTCTACTCAATGAATTCCACATATAATTAGGATACTCACCCACCCTGGATGCGCCTGGATCCGAGCACACTCTACACAAGGCCCAACATTCTTCACCAGATGAGGCTTCCTGGCCTCGCCCTGCCATGCGACTATCACCGAAGCAGCCCTGGAGTGGCCGTTGTTTTCCCAATTTGCATGGATTGCAGGTTGCTCCATGTCCAAAGCATGGGCCATGCGTGCGCGCGCCTTGTTGTTCCGGGTTGTTGCCCGAATTTCATGCCTCAAGTGAGCCTTGCCAACCGCCACTTGTTGGGATACATGCCGTTTCACTGCCCATCCCTAGCCGCTGTGATGAGGAAGTGTGATGGTGCATCCGTGATGGTTGGCTCATTCGGGAGGGGATGGGAGTGTCCGCCAGGCGTCTGACACGCTGGCCTCGCTGCAAACTGGTGTCGCGGGGGTGTTGGCCTTTGTTTTCGCCCCTTGGACAAATCACGTGTCCCATTGATCATTGTGCGGGCGCCAGCAAGTCACTTTCATATTCCAGTTCTTTTTCGTGAACAAAACAGGCTTTTCAACTGACTTTTACGCCTTCTGCTTTTGATGATGCCTTGAGGCATGACCAGAGCGTCATTTCGACGGATCATCAAGTGCATAGCATCACTGGATTTGTTTCCAAAGAGGCACGAAGCGAATGTGCCAGGTTCCATTTAATTATGTTTATAAATACCTGCCCCCACACAAAAACGAACCAGAGCGGTTCCCGTGCTAGATGTGGACTCAAGCAAGGCTGCCGTGATGAGCCTGATGGTGCGTTTCATCCCGGGCCTGGCTGTGGTTCTGCTGGGATACACGGGCTACCGCCTCTATGCGGCCAATGCCCTCTACAACAAGCGCACCCTCGCTGGCCTAGCCGTGGCCGCTGGACCATGTTTCCTGTTTGTGCCTGTGTGGGTTTGTTGGAGACATTTGGTCACACGGACCGGTTACGGCTAAGGTGTTTGTCAGTATGCTGCTGTCAAGCAATGTTGCTTTGAACACTTCAAGTAAGGGAACGCCTATGAGCCCTTGGTGAAAAAACCGAAAGCTTCACGTTCCCTCCGTCCCACCCCGTTTCGCTGGGCAGCCTGCCTATGTATATAGACTAATAGAGCATGTGCGGGCCGTTCGAAGGTGCACGGCACAAGTAAAGCAAAGCTTGCCTTGGAAGGGTTGATTGCGGAAGGATCCATAACAAATACCGCAAACACGTCAAAGGAAACTGGGTGTGCTGCGAAAGGAGCCATCTGAAAGGCTTGGGGGGAAGATTTGGGTAAATTCCAGGCATTGTTCAACGACCTTGCGATGTATACTGTGCGCACTTTGAAGAAGTTTGTCCAATCAAACTCGGGCGCATAACGCGGGAGGTTTCTTGTTGGGGTCATTGGCCTCTCCTGGCCAGGACTCACCTTTGGGCTCATCTTTTTGGGCGCCCGCTTGCGGGCTGCAGCCGATGGCGCCGGCGCCACAGGGAGCCTGGACGCCTCTGGGAACGTGGTGCGCAGCGGGGAACTGGTACTCCTCCGGAACGGTGAGGCCGGCCACAGACGGGCCCTTTGGTTGTGCTGATTTTAATGGGGACTCTCCTGAAAGTCGTTGGTGGACACAAATTGAAACAAGCCAAGAAGGAATCCTGGGGTTATTTGCCATCATGCTGCCCATTGGGCGGCTCTGGCGGTTGATGTGGTCTAAAGAGCCCGATCTGGGCGGATCTACCCAAGAAGGGGGACCTTGTGCTGTGCCGTGTGCGATGCTTGCTTCTTAAGAGATTGCATCGGGCAGGTATTCTACCAGTGTCCACGGAAGTCAATTTCGCGTTGAAAGACTCGGTTCGGTTTGAGGTGGTGACGCGCGCGGACCCTCGGCAGGGGCCGGAGGCTGCTGCAGGCCCGGGCTGGCAGGAGGCGCTGGCGGCAGCCATCCAAACGGCGCTGGTCTCCGGCCAGGAGCAGGTGGGAACGAACCCACCGTCGGGGCCAATTGGCTCGTAACCCCGCAACTCCGCCAGGGATGGGGTGGGTGGGGGGTGGGGTGAGTGGGTGGGTGGGTGGGTGGGTGGGTGGGGGGGTGAGTGGGTGGGTGGGTGGGTGGGTGGGTGGGCGGGTGGGCGGGCGGGCGGGCGGGCGGGCGGGCGGGCGGGTGGGTGGGTGGGTGGGTGGGTGGGTTTGTAATCCAGGTCATAACCTACAAAGTACTACTTTCATGTGGTAGGGTTGGGTAACACGTGCAACAACCATACAAGTTTCCGCTCCCTATTACGGGGAAGCCAAAAGGTGGTAGTTTAAACAATAGTGGTTCAAACATGTTTAGAGGGTTTGGCCCGACCTTGGCCAGGGACCAACTGAGGGGCGTCTCAAGCTGCCTACAAACACTTGCGCTTCCCCTCAGCAAGAGACACATCTGGACTTTGCCGACTAGGGCGTAGAAGTGTATCATCTACTTAGGACTGCAATTTTTGGACAGCCACTTCGCATCGTGTGCCGAGTGCGGCCTGACAGCGTCATCATAAGCTTATCGCCTGCTATCATTGCTTTCAGCAAGCCACCAACCACCCGTCACACGGCCATAAAATGAAACATATCATACACGCCTCGACTTCGAGCCTTGCTGGAACTGCGAGTTTGTGCTGAAGCTTTGGATCTTCGGCACTGCCAATCCCTCAGGTGGTGCTCGAGTTCTCGCGGCCCGGTTGCACCTACTGTGCAAAGATGCTGCCGGTTCTGCAGGCGGGCCTTTGCACACCGCGTGGCAGGTACGAGTGGTACCCTTTACTCCCTTGCCAACGTCATATGCAAGCTTGGAGAGAGTAAGCATATACTTCCAGTATGATGTGCTTGCTGCCTTTGACGGTTGTCAATGCTGGCCCTTCACAGGGCGGTGATGCAACTGTCCTTTGCGAAGTTTCTGGTCCTCCGCAAGCCTCCGAGCCGGGCCACAATCCCAAATTGGGCCCAGTTTTCAGGGATTGGCGAGCGTGTTTGGGTTGAGGGTTCATGTGTTTTGATGTGCATTGAGTGAAGTGCCACAGGCGCTTAATATACAATTTGCAGCTTTGCAGCCCAAGAGAGCCCTTAAACCCCAGTACCCTTAAAGAAGGTGGTTGCAAAACATGTGCCTCTCTGAATTACTTGTAGCTGGTTGGCTCTGTCTTGTTTCGATCATAAATACCCAAAAAGGAGGTACCTATTTCTGAGAAAGCCACACACCCCACTGGACCTCCAGGCGGTGGTGCGGGGCCGTGCGGCGGCCACTGGCGCGCTGGCGCCGGGCCTCGCCTTTGCAGCGCCCCGGAACTTGGCGCTGGCGCCGCTGCGAGTCTTCCTGCTGGACGCGGAGGAGTCCGTGGGAAAGTTGGCTGAGACCCAAACAAAGCCCTTGGGAAAGGTTGGGTAGGGTGAGTATTTCTTTGCAGAAATGCCATAGTGACAAAGTAGTCAAGACGATCCATTGGTAACTTCGTAGGGAAGTGGTTCTACGATGCGGTAGGGAAGGCCCTTGATAACCTTCGTAGGGATCCCAAGCGGAGACCCATCCGTTCTGTGCTGGTGGGGAAGGCCAAGGGGAAACAGTTGACGCTAGGGCGAGTAGTTCTTGGCGGGAATGTCGATTGACAGTGGTCCATTTGGTATTGCAGAAAGGGTGGTTTCAGCAACCATCGGTTCGCGATGAGGTTGGGTAGGAACAGAAATCCAACGCTTTCTCCATAGAAGGGTCGATAATTAGTTCAATTTCAACTTTTGATTTTGATTTTGGGCCGATCAGCATGCTCTGTGCTGTTGGTGCGAGCAGCACCTGTCGGACGGGCCAATTCAAATGGGTGAGTTGGCAGGAGTTCCCTCAGCTGGCGCAAGGATTTCAGGCGCGTGGTGCAGATGCTGACTGTGGCCCAACCCCTTTCTGCGGATTTTGTCCCTTTAGCAATTACTGGCAAAGATGATGGAGATCTCAAGTGTTTTGTTAATTTGAGGGCCGCCACTCCGAACCGTACGTTTTGTTGTCGTTGTGTTTGCTCGCTTGTTTGGCAGAGTTTGTCAAAGACTTGCATCCCGAACACCTGCACGCTTTTGCCGTCGCCTGAGACAAGACAAGGGCTTTCCCTTGGATGCCCATGCTCGTAGGAATTGAGAACATTGACAGCAGGCCTAGCAATCTCAATGTAGGAAAGCGGTAAAGTTAAAGCCGTGAACAAAAGCCTCCGGGATTCCTGAAGCTTGGGCTTGCAACATGCTTAGCATACCTTCGCATGCATGATAATTGATCAGTTGTGGTTTTGAGGCGGACAGCTGCCTCAGCGTCAACGTATCCAGTGCACAGCTTTTGCCCTTGCTTAAGTGAAATCAAAGCACATGCATGCTTGTACCTACGCGGCTAGACCCAGGTGTTTGAGACGGTCAGTTAGACCAACGCCGCAATTCCTTCCGAGCTTCGTTAAAATTACGATCTCCAGGCTCAACCTGATAAGGGCCCAGAGCCCACAAAAAGTACCCAGTGGGTTGCGCGGCTTTTTCCCGCGGGCCGCGCAGAACGAATGGCAGAGCCGAGATTCCCGAGTGACAGGTGCAGGCCTTCCCCACCCTGTGGGTCTTCGGACAGCCCAAGGCCGGGCCTTGGGAAGTTCATCGGTTTATCAAAACGTAGCGGACATGCACCAGCCAACTCAAGCTCATCCTTTTGTGTCTTGTTCTGCACCCCTGGCGCCTCCTATCCCACAAGGAACAAGCCATGTCAATCCTCGTATTTGTGGCGGGCGTAAAGCCCACGTTGGGCATTGACCTTTTTACTGTGACCATTGTTTCGAGCCATGGCTGCTTGCTTTCAACTCAGCTTGAGTGCGGGTGTGGGTGCTGCCAGGTGGACCCCATTGTGGCGAAGGGGTTTCTGGAACAAGCACAGCTGGAGGACCAGCTGTCATGTTTGCGCTCCAATGTTGCTTCCACTTGGGGCAATTCGATTTCAACTCGGTGGACTGGACATACTAGCGTTGGTTTGGCAATCACCAAGCCTGCATGATTGAACAGAGTGGTCCATTTTCGGATTTCCCCCCCTTTTGCGCTAGCAACCTCGCGTCTCGTTCTGCATCACTAGTGGCGTGTGAGGCAATTCGTGCGTGGTCAGGAGATTTTGCAGATGGAAGCGATGAAGAAGCCTCCGCCTGAGCCAAAGAAGGGCCTGGCGCGACTCTTCCGGTGAGCTGGGAAGGCTTTGCCATTGGGGCAAAGGGGACGGCGTCAGTTTGAGTTCAGGCCTTGCCCTTGACATATCTTATCGAGTCGGGATCCATTGGCCCACTGTGCCTTTCAACGGTCAACCCACCTCACAGTAGCAAGGAGCGCTAGTTTACACAAGCAATTGCGGCCTGTGCTAACCTCATGCTGTCTTACCCTAGGCTGCGCTTTCCCGTTTTGAAGTTGGCGAGGTTTAGTGTGCGCTCCTCGCATCTAATGTGCACCTTGTCTCCTGGCTGTGCATGAGACTTGGTGCCAGGTGCAGAACACAGGCGAATTCATTCGCTTGTTGGCAAACACGATTTTGATCCAACTGCCTGCCCCAACCTGTACTTCTCAGACTAGGTTTGACTGATGAGACAACTTTGCTGGCTCTTCGCGGGGGGGGTGGGGGGGACTTAGAAGGAGCAAGAATTCGTGCACGAGCCAAGCGTGGTAGATCCGACAGTTCCATTTAGATCTATTTAGGAGAGTGCGGTGACAAAAGGCTCAACGGAGAATGCGCTTGGCTGCTGGCAGCTTCTAGCTGTTGTGCATATGCGAACTGATGCGAGGTGTGGTAGCAGTCTAGTGTGTGCATATTCATACAAGTAGATTAGTCTACATATGTAGACATATAATAACAATCATCATAATAGTAGTAAATAACAAAATAGTAATTTTATATATGAATTATTATATTGTAGTATACTGTGTATAACGCATATATATATATATGTATATATGTGTACATATATTTGTTTGCTGCATACATTTGTGGTATTGGGGCCAGATTGGGTAGCAGCGTCTCTCGGCTTCGAAAGCTTGGGGACGTTCAACGAGGTGTCGGCGCAGTGGAAGACCGCCTGGCGGCTGATTTACTCTCCGCGCCTGGGGCCTTGGCAACAGGCTTTGCAGGGAATGGTCGGCTGGGGAGTCAGGAAGCTGTCAGGAAGATGTTTTTCTTTTGGCATGGGGCCATCATGGGGCGGTCAAATTCGCAGCCAAGCTCTACTCCTTTGCTTTTCGAAGCCTGTGACTTGAAAAATGTATGGTTGTTCTGATGGGCCAGCCTGAGGTATTGGCTGGCCCTTTGCTCGAAATGTGGTGACCGCTGCGATGTCTGGTTTGAATCCTCAGCTCTTGGACAGGCACGCCATGGTTGTAAGCAGCCTTGATATCCTCAAGTCCTGACACAGAAACAGCTCTGCCATTCTGAGGGACGCACACATGTGGAACCCGAGATCTTTGTTTGCGGGCTGCTTTTGTCTCTAAAGATGAATCCAACAGATGACCACTGTAGCAGCCTTTCGTATCCTGGCACGAGGCTTACACGGTGTCTCGCTGAAGACATTCTACCGGCGCATGCAGTCAGAGGGCCCCAGCTTGCTGCTACTGCAGGACTGGTGACCCGGCGAGGGTCTTTCGTCTCAAGCCAGGGTGTGTGTGCGTGTGCATTTTTGTTTGTTTGAGTTGTTTTTGTTGGGCGGGTGGCTGTAGTACAGGGAATCCAATAGTAGAGAGCCGCTATTTTGTGAGGTCCCGTATGGCAACATATGCTCAGGATGGTGCTACAAACACGCCTCAAGGCCTACCTCCTAAGACTAATCGTTGTGGACTGCTCCCTGGAGGCGGATCCCCTGCCCCAAACTCGCCACATTTTGCAGCGCGGAAGTCGTTTGGCCAGACATGCTTAGGCGCTAGGCATACTTCTTTGTGTATAAATTAACATGTGCATTTGCGCATGTTATGCTGAATTGGTTCAGGCAAATATATGCATATCGGCATGTCGGGTGGACATTAATAAACCTTCGCATGCATGCCATAAAACATGCAATGTGCTCCGCTGTGAGGGTAACAACGGGCCAACTTTCAGTCTTTCACCAGGAACACGCGGAAGCAGATGTTTGCATGTGATGTCCCAGAAACAAGGCGCATGGTTGCTGCCAAGATATACCACTTGGTACTGGACATGTTCAGGTCACCCTTCGCCCTTTCAAAATCGGCTGACTTTGCGCTGCAAGTGCTTTGCGAAGTCTATCTCAGTCCCAATTCCTCACTCCCGGCTTTGGCCTGGAGAGGATCACGGCGGCAACGTCTTCGGTGGATTTGCCTCCACAGCTTGGAAGCAGTCGGACAGGCGCCAGCCCCAAAAGTGAAGCCCGCCCTTGACTTGGGATACTGCCGGGGTACGGGGCACAGTGGCTCGTGAACTGTTGGCTTGTTGACCAGCTTTGGGCACCCGAATGTTAGGGTGCTAAAAAGCTCGTTTTAGGTGTAGTTGCCTTCTATAGCGATCTTTCGAGAACCCATGTTTTCAAGCAGAGGGCCCTCCAAGGCGCGCTGACTGAACGCTGGGTGCCAGTTGCTGCCAAGCTCTTTGCGCCCGCACAAGCTTTCTCCTCGCAGACTCCTTTGCATCACTGCCGGTTGGCTCAAAGACGTTGCCTTGTTTTTATGCGTGTATGTGAGGCGTGATGTATCACTAGTTTCTGCATCCCAGTCCTAGCAAAAACTGCCTGGACACTGGAAGCCAAGAAGAACGTGCTGAACTTCTCACTCGCCACTCGCTGGGTCTTTAATCAGACACTTGCCCCTGATAGAACCGTGTGTCGCCAATGTGCCGCACAGATCGCCAAGAATTGCGGCATGCCAAGATCGATGTGTCGCTGGAAGCCTTGCTTTCCAGAGCTTGCGCCCTTCTCTCGGATGATAAGGACAAGGAGGCACGGGCTCATAAAGAGGACAACCCCTAAACACACAGCGAGGTATGATTTGACTTGTCCATAAATTGGGAAGAGGCCGTTAATCGGGCATGTCTTCCCAGATAGTTTAACGATTGGGTTGCCAACTTCAAGTACAGAAGATGTGGGTGGTAGAGGGTGCTGTTGCTCTGGAGGGGAGGAGCTGGGTCCAAGTAGTATGCGTTTCAGAATAGGGTGCCATTTGGCATTCATCCGTTTAAGGCTGGAACCCATGATGTATTTTCTAAATAACATGTCCTTTGTTGCCACTCGGCAGTTTTGCAGTGGCAGTGCTACTGCGTAGGTCATTCCACTTCCCTTACATGTTTTTGTTTAGTCTGCTGCTGAGAACTATGATGTGTGCACTTGCAATAATATAAGGCCTAACATTGGGTATGTCTTGGCTGGGCGCCATGAACATATCATTTGCAGCATGAAGGGCGTTGATGTCAGGAAACAGCGCTTTAGACATGGTTTGCATTTACCATTCTAGTGTGGTCGCTTGATAGCTTTTTGCGGAACTACTGCTTCCATGGCTTGTACCTAATGATCCTTTGTTATATATTTTGGGTTGGCACATGTCATTTTATATATGACTCGGCGGCCTTTCCTGGCTTCCCCCCCTTTGTGTTGTGGACTTGCTTATCGGCCCGTCGTTTTTTGTGTTTTTTTTTGGGGGGGGAAGCAGGGGTGAATGGTGTCCAGCTTCGTTTCACGGCCGCACGTTCGAAGCTGAAACAGGGTTTGTGTTGCCAGACCGTTGTTGAACAGGACTCGACACCATAGCGCGCAAACGCAAAAGCTTTTGCCAAGTCAATGATGGCAAGCCGCCTGTATTTCCAATGTGTCCACGAGTGTCATCAAGACAATAACTGCGACCGTGCACGGTTTGCAAAGAAATGTCAAGCGGGCTTTGCTCGCATGAGGCCCTAGGTAGTCCATTGAAGTTACTGAGCTTGTAACAGAAAGACATAAAGGGGGTTGGCAGTTTGCCAATAGTATGCAGGAGGTAATTAGTTGGCAACGAACGCCTGCGCTGGAGGCCGTGTGCGTCAACCACACCGGGTCGTTCGAGTGCGATGCCGACCTCAATCGCTACAGCATCCTTCAGGAGCAGTTTGGTGGGTGCGCCTCATTGGGGGAAGTGTGTAGAAAAGAGGTCCGTTGTTTACGCCTTTGCTTCCTTGTGCTGAACATATTTTCGGATTTTCAGCTTTCGGATTTCAGCTCCGGCCAAAGGCCAGCTGAGCAGTTCCCCCTGAAAGTCTGAAGGTAGCCAAGAGCTTGCTGTCCCTTCAAGTTTGGCAACGTCGCTGAAGTTGGTCATTGATTTCAAGTGGCCGTGCGCATTGGTTTGTCGCTTCCAATTTCACGAATCCACTGAGTCCTTGAGGTTGCTGTTTGCTTCCTGTTTATATTCGGAACTAAGACTTTGCACGAAGAACATGTCGGTTTGCTGTTGCCAGGCCTTTGAGATCCTTTGAGCCTTGTGCAGGCCAACACCTAGCCTGCTGGGTTACTTATACAATTGTACTTCATGGGATACTTGAGGTCAATTTGCTCCGTTCTCCGTTTGGAGAGACTCACATTAGATCCAGGAGCTGCCTCTGGCGCGGCGCATGGAGCTCATCGAGCTTGGGTCCACGGATGCGGTGCTGAACCGCGCCATGGGCGCCATGGTGGGCATGGCCGTGGGGGACGCCCTGGGCGCGCCCCTGGAGTGCCTGCACGCGCAGGCCGGCGGGCGGTGGGAGGGGGGGGGGCACCAGGTGGAAGATGGAAAGACGTGATAACCCCAGTAATGTATGGAAGAGGGGGCTGTGCCACCAAGAAAGGGACACTTCCGCACATGCATTTTCCCTAGGCTGCACGAGAAATTGTGCAAGCGCTGTTCAGAGTGGGGGAGGGTATGGTGCAAGCGAAGGCCAAACAGCCCCAACAAGGTTGAAACCGTCACTGCCTAGGACTTGAAGGAGTGTCATGAAACTCAACGCGCCTCAACGGAGCCGTACTAGCTGGAAGGGCGGAACATTGAGGATGGTCATGCCCCAGACCAGACCAACAACGCGTTGAAACATTCAGCTTGAGTATTGAACGAACCTTGCAGAGCAAAGTGGACAATTCCTTCTAAATATAATGCTTGATAACTTATACAAACTTCCACATGTAATTTACCTTCTGGGTGGTAGAGTCAGGTCCAGGAGTCAACTCACCCATCTCTTTGGCCATAGGACGTCCCGGTTGCCACGCACTTCGACCTGGAGAGCTTCCAGTTCGTGGGCAGAACCACGGGGGTGCTGAAGCCGGGCCAATGGACGGACGACGCCTCCATGGGCCTGTGCCTGGCGGATAGCTTGCTGCTGAAGCATCGGCTTCTTGGGAGCCCTTCGGCAGATGGCGCGCGACGTATGCGACGGGCCGATGTCGGAAGCCAGCGCATTGATGGCCGCTTCGGAAGCAACTGGTGAACCATGCAAACACGTTTGGGCATGAGGGCTTTGAATTGAAGTGGCCCAGTCCTGTTCGGCAATTCGGGCTGAGGGAATTTTCGAGGCTCAGCGCCTCAGCGCTGTTCGATTCTGTTAGCCAGGAAGGTCTAGTGACGAGCGTGATGAATGTGCTTCTATAAATCCACAGTGTGTTTCGTCCCGTTTCTACGCAGAACACGGCAGCGTAAGAGCGAGTTCCAAGTGCAAGTTGGGCCTGCAACAGTTCCCACGACAAAATCACACGACACAACCTGCAAGATTGGTACACGCAAAGCCTTGGGCACCCTCGTTCAGTTTTAACTGTACCAGGACCGGAAAGGTGAAACTTTGCCGTCCAAGAATGCACCGAACATCCAACAGTGGCTGTATGAAGCTGGGATTCGCCTTTCCTCCCCCCCCCCTCTTGGGAAAAGAGGCCCTCCCCCCCCGCCTCAAAGAAGAGTGTCCTCTTGCAAGACAAGGAGGCAAAACGTTTGACCTGCGAGGCGACCTCAGAGTTCGATTGTGGTGTTGGTGGTTCCGCGGTTACAACAACGCCTTCGCGAAGGAGAACGCGAGCATTCGCTGTGAGTTCGGTCACAGAACCCAGCCCTCCAACCATCCAACCATCCAACCAACCACACCCCAACCGGGGCCCCCTGCAGCATGTTTCTTCCAAGTCGACTTTCTCTATTTTCCGTACTTGTTGAAATCAGCGTGACTGGTAGACAAGTTCAGGTTCCCCAAGATTGCTCCCCACCATGGGCCCAAAGTGGCCGGAAAGTCCTTACCCATGTATGGATCTCCCGTGTAGGGCCACCCAAACAATGATCACAGGTGCCATCCGGTGCCTAGTCGCAGCCATTCTTTGCATGCCTCCGCTGTACAAGAAAGTGTTCAATGGGGAAACCTTGTTTGGGCGGGAGTGACTTTCAGGCCTCATTTGCTTGTCCAACAGTATAGATGCGCGTGCGCCACCTGAAAAACAATCGTGATTACAAGGATCTTCCCGACATGCATTTGGAAAAACGGTGGTGCCGGGAGGAGCGGCAAGTCCAGGCTGACTTGAGCATGAGTATTTGGCAGACAGCTTGCCAAGAAAGCAGAACGCAGGACCGCCAAAACCCATCCAAACGGAATCGGCAAAGGATGATGACAAGCACAAGAGCACTCTGCTGCACATTGCGAATGAACGGCGCCCATTCCATGAGCTTCGCCAGCAAAAGGCTCCGGGGTCTCTTGGGGGAACGTTGGATGTTCAGCTCATGAAACAGACCAAAGGCGCGCCAACACACCAACTGAGATGCTTGGCAAGTGCCTTGCCGTTCTTTGGGCGCGCACCAGAAAAAGCACGGTGCTCTTGAACATTTCTTGCCGTGAGCACTGGATCTGTGCGTTCCCCGCCGCGCGGATGACTCACCCCGCTCGGTTGGCCTCGCTCGCAGGAGCCGCAGCGCTTATGGCCTGGGCTCCTCGGTGGCCAAGAGCCTGGCGGAGATGCTGCGGCTGCCCGGCCAGGCGACCGAGGAGTTCCAATCCCCCGAGGCGGGGAACGGCAACGACCGTGGACGACGCGCGTGCATGCGGCTAAGACGGGGCGACGCAACCCCAAGCATTCATCCAAGCAGGAAACGTAGTTGATACCTGTCAGAGCGCATGCGCAGCCCTTGTCGAGCTGGCCAAGCACATTGTACCGCTAAGTATCATAAAGCACATGGTTGGTTCTTTTTAGAATTGCATTCTGGTGCTGCGAAATGTAAGGAACTGCCCATGCGTCTTGATGTGTGGCATTTCATTGGACTACAGAGGCTTTGTTTCATGATATTTGCGTCACATCAGCAACCAAATACGCCTGGTCGCCCCTTTGCTCAACTTTACGCCCTTTCTCACAATCCGAGTTGGACAATCCGTGCAGTGAAGGCTGGAATTTGAAGATAAGGGTCACTTTGGGGGCAAGTTGCTTCAATATCTGCATGCCAGCAATTATGTGGGTGCATCTCTTTTGCCCCTTTTTCGGCTTTCAACTGAAACCAAAAGGACGCCGACCATTTCGGCATCATGTTTTTTTGAGACACTTCAATGTGGATCTCATTCCAAGAAAACAGCGGATGGCTGAAGAGCAACTGCTCCTAAATAGCACAAATGATGCCCAAACGCAACCACTGGGTTGGATCGGCTTTCCAATGGGATGAAGCAAGGAAAGGGGCAAGGAGGAAGTCACATGCTGGCGCCAAGCCAATGATTTTGTTGTAACCCCAGTATGCCTGGCCAACGTTTTAGATGATTCAAGGCAGTGACACAGTTCGTTCCGTTGGCCTCTCAAGTCGTTCGGCCATGTGTCAACATTCCCTTTCCAATCTTTGTTCCCCAGTGCGGTCTCTTTGCCACATTGTTGGAGGGGCTCCCGCCCAATTTTGCCAATCAATTCCTCCCAGCAGTCAGCTGGTTCGAAAGGATTCGAGCGGCGTCTCGTGCCTTACCCGCTGTGCGCCGGTGAGCGTATTCTTCCACGACGCGCCGGTCGAGGAGTTGCTAGATGCTTACCAGAGTTGGCAGTTTCGTTTGCTTGTGCCATCTTGTGCCAAAGTGGCTTCTAAGAAAACAGTAGCCATCTGATTATATTCTGATGCATTATTATAGTTAGTTCTCTTTTTTGTGCTTTGCGTTGGCACCCTGAAGATGGTTTGAATTGGATCCCGCGTCGTGTTTTGCGCGCAAGCCCATCAACTGGCAGAAGGCAAATTGTGCGTTCAAACCAGTTGTCCCATGTCGACACTTTGATGTGTGCTTTGCCATTTTTGATAAACGTCCCCAACTGTCCAACGAGCAATCCTTGACTGTCAGAGCCTGGGCATGTTCAATCAACCTGTTTATTAAGGAGATGGCGCGGCGGTCCTCGCGCATCACCCATCCTGGCCCTGTTGCTGCTGAGTCATGCGTCTCGGACACGAGTTTGTCCTTTTACTGGCCGGATATGCCTAGAGCCCGAGAAATCGTTTGAAAATGGCGACATCTAATGAACGAGCTAATTCGTGCTTATTTTTGTTTAAGGTGGCAATATGGGTACGCTGCCTGTGTCTTGAGCAGCAAGCACGCCACCTAAGGTTTTGTTCTCCAGCATCATCCATCACAGTCCGCCAAGTAGGGAGCAGTTTACATTCAGAGTTCGTCGGGCGAGTCAACCTTTAGCACTCTTGAGCCGCGACGATTGAATGAGTGGTAAGCTGGGATTTGGCAACTCGGGCGGACAATGTCAATACCCACGCCTGCGCACACGCAGAGCTTGGAATGCATAACCTGTAGCCAGCCTCTTGGTTGTCGTTAGGGGTTTGAGGTGGGACACTTCCACGTTTGCTGCTGTGGTGTGGCTGCCCCCCAGCATATTTGTCAAGGAGCACGGTACTCAGGCTCCAAAGAGTTTTGCAGGGAGTACCAAGTTGTTGGCCTTTGAGGGCTGTGTAGCAAAGCACCCCAGCAGGCCAGTTTGGTCAGACTGAAAGTTTGATTTAGTGTGGCAGGTGCAGCAAGGGCACTTCTACGCTGGCCTGTTCCGAGAGCGCACACCGAGGCAGTTATTCTTCCGTTGGCATGCCTACGCGAACCTGCAATCAGCAAACATTGTGCTCCATTGATGCAAACTTCCTGCTTGAAAAGCTCATTTCCGGCCAGGGAAGATAGGCTCGCAGTTCATCCTTGCGTCGTATCGTTGTCCTGCCATCCAGCCGCATACAGTATTCAATGTACCAGACCAGTCTCAGGACTGTCAGAGGACTTGCCGACTTGATATGTTTCCAGCCGTTGACGTTATAACGTAATTACATCTTTAACAGCATGCCACCAAGATTTGGTCTCTAAGTCATCTTATTTGGGCTCCCATGAGACGAACGCCACCCAGAGACTAGGCGCCCTGCTTGTCTTCTTGATGAGTGATGCCCTGCGCTCGCATCACTCCAGCGTGAAGAACTTTCTGGACTCTGCCCTTCAAGAGTACTGGGAGCAGGGGATCATGCATCTCGGCTATGGGAAGCTGAGGCAAGCGCAGAGCATGCGACCCCGGTTCATGAGTGCTCAAAAAAAGGCAACCTCTTTGTCATGTCTACTGGCTACACATGGCTCGTGATTTTGCAAGCCAAAGCGACTTCATGTCGTTTGAACAGATTGTAGCCTCTGAAAGCCCAAAGCTAAGGCACAAGTTCGGGCCGGGCTATGACGAGATCAAGTGCTTGATCACCTCCACTCCGCGCAGCGCCGTTGAGCGGTGCTGGGATTGGCGCTCCACAAGTTTGGATGTCACTCGGCGGGACTTGGTGGGACTTTGGTCCATCCTAGTGGCTTGCCGAGCACGTGCCAGGATGGTTTGTAGGTTTTTGTCCACCTGCTCCTATTGCAGCGCATGTAGAGGGGAAGGCGTTAGGACACATGGGCATCTTATGGGGATGAACACTGGCACATGCCAAAAGGTGTACATGTTTGATTCACCAAGATTGAGTGTGTTGCCTGAATCCACTGCAACATGAACCCTTTGAACACTCCTGTTCCTGGCTACGGCATCTGGATGTGTCTCCAAGAACTTGTGTGGCCCTTTGAGCACTCCACCAACCACATGGAGCCAGTGCACCGGCGGTTGGTTTCCCCGTTCCAAGGTTTTGGGTACCTTGAAGGCGCGGGGCCACAGCTACAACGGCTATCCAGCCGCTTTGGCTCACATTGGTCTACAGCATTGGCTTAGTGACCGCATGGCTACCTTCGGGTTTGCTCAGAGGCCCATCATGCAGGTGCGCCTAAATGCTTGATGGGATGCCCACTGGTGAACTCTGAGCATGGCTCTTACTTTGCCAATATGCTGCAATTTCGTTTGGCTCGGCTTGGGCTGGTGCATGTTGTGCGGCCCTTCGCCCGCCCAAAGTCTGCTTGGAAATTCAGGACGGCCGGGTATACAAATACACCTATGTATATATCTACATATGTATATATATATATATATGTGTATATATATTATA